ATAACTCAGCATTTTACAAGCCCTTTCCACACTGGCTATATTATTCAGTCAATGTAGTAGAAAAAAAAAAAAAAGATGCAGTGCTCCAATGCTGTTCAGGAAGAGCTGATCCCTCTTTCAGAGATATCAATGTCTGGCACATTTACACCCTCTAAGAACTGCCCGGCCAAAAATAACGCTGAAACCAACAAGAGAAACAGCCAATTTGGCTGTTTTTATCCCAACCAGATTAAAAATTACTCTCAATTTACTATCTTACTAAACTACATCTGAAATTGTTACAGTAGGCTGTCTGTGGGCTGGCAAGCTAGCTGCATGCAACTTCACATAAGCATGCGTAAAAAGAAGAATGAGAAAGAACCATAAATATATATAGTCTATATATGGAGAAGGCAAGGAAAGAATGAAAAAAATCTCCTGCCAACAGTTCTTCACTTCAAACAAGCAGGGGCTGGGACACCCTGGGTAGCGATAGACCCCAGATCAATCATGGTTTCTGGATGTATTTCTCTCCCTCTCTCCTCCTCCTCGTGCCATGTGTGTCCCCTGTCCTGTGGGACTCCGCAGCTTGGATTCAGGACTGTGTGGCTGTGTGAGGCAGCTCAGTGTGCCCAGGGTGACACGTCTTGGCAGGCCAGGTGAGGCTTTAGGGAGCTAGTGTTTTATTACCAATGCCTGGACAAATCTGTGCAATGAGATGATTGTACATTTGTTGACATACTTTCCTGGACACAGCAGCAACACCAGCCTCTTCAGGAGAAAACTGCTTTGAGGACTTGGTCTGCACACACCTGCGGATCTAATTTACAGTACCGTGATACCACAGACCGGTGCAGAAGAGTTTGCATCAGCCTCTAGCTGCAAGGCTTTTGGCATGGTACTGGTACGGCAGAAATGGTCACCATACCCTAACCATACCGATACCCTAATGGTGATCAACATGGGCCCCTTGGAACAAGGGGGCTGGCTGAGGCAGACAGAAGCCAGGTCCTCTGGCTTCTCCGAACAGAACAAAAGCCACCAGCAGAGCACAGACAGGCCCGAATGACTGTGTGAGTTCTTTGGTTTTAAAAGCAGGAGGGAAGCACTGGGGAAGGTGGCAGAGAGGAAAGAGAAGAAAAGCCCAGTGGCAGGAATAGCCGTGGAGCTGGGAGGCGTGGGAGAGGATGCCCCAAAACTCGGAAGATAAGTCTCAACACAGGGAAAAACTGCTCTGGATGATCCATGGAGCTCTGACTCAGTGCTGGGTGAGGAAGAGGAAAACACCCAAGTGTTCCTTAGCTGAACCAAGGCCCAGGTTTCCCAGGCTGCCCACAGGGCAGGACTTTAACCACCCTTGTGGGAGCCGTGATTCACGTTAGGGCAGCACAAAAGCCAGGGATACGAGTCAGGGCAGATATACAAAACCACAGACTTGTCACAGCCCCAGGCACGTCAATCTGTAGACCATCACTGCAGACATGTGACTACAACCCTGGATGTTAGGATTTTAATCACGTTGCATTCCAGTTCTACTTTTTGGAAGCCACAGCACTAATGAAATAAATATCACTTATGCAAAGCACAGGGGATGGAGGGGCACGCCTTTCCCTTGCAGAACCACTACCTGTTTGATGACACTGATTTATATTTATCTAAATAAGACTAATTCTCTCTTTTGATATCATTTCCCCTCTTAACCAATGGAGAGGGGGAGAAGGTTTAACAAGAGTGTTTCTTGTCCCCATTTAGAAGATGCAGTACGCACCAGCAGCCATTTAGTTTCACGAAATTGCTGCAGGATACAAAGATACATCTCATATCCTGGCTGACAGCTTTAGCGCAAAGCCACACAACGTCTGCCAGGGCTCCTTGTTAAATACTACATTGTTCTAGTGACTCAGTGCGCTGGAATGTATCACGTTTACTCGTAGCTTTTCTGATAGAGTTTTTAGATTAGACACATAAAATTCTGCTTTTTAGAAAAAAATAAGTCTATTGTTTCTTATTATGTGGAGCATACAAAACTCCTAGTTTCTTCTCCAGGGTTATAAATACAGAGAACTGAAGCAAAAGGACAAGCCCTCAGAAACCTAATGGTTCTTTCAAGCTTCTAGTAAGTAGGACTGTAAGAACATTTGCTAGGAGAAAAAACAGATGTGCACCATGACCAAATGTTACCGTCAAAAGGAAAGAGGACAGAAGAGTAGTGAAGATGGTCAAAGACATGGAGCATCTTCTGTAAGAAGGACAGTTGAATTAATTAGGATTTTTAAGTCTGGAAAAGAGACCTCTGACAGGGGACACGGTAGGGATCTTACAGAACCCAAACCAGCATGGAGCTGGCAAATATGCAAACAACAATTCCCTAAACAGGAGCTTGTTACAGTAAACTTGCTGGCAGCAGGTTCAGTTACCAAAAGGAGGTGGTTCATCACACACAGTTACAGTTAAACTTTGAAATGCCTGGGAGCAGGACAGAGGCCAAAAGCACACGTGTGTTCAAATAAGAGCTAAATAAATTGATGTGAGATGAAGGCCGTTTCTACTGGCTACTGCTGGAGATAGGACAGACCTCTGGCCTCCCACAGCTCAGGTGTTTGTTTGCCACGTTCTGAGTTTTTAATAAAGCAGGCAAGAGTCTATGGCATCTTCTGAGAAGAACAGCAGCAAGAAGCAGGAATTCATCTCGCCCACTACCCAGTGCTTCTCGGAAGGACTGCAGGCAGGAGGTACAAGCAGCACAAATCCCCCCCGCAATACCAAACTGCTCTCGCTTAGCCTTCTTAATTGCAGTTGTGAGCAAAGACCACAGAAACACGTACACAGCTAAGCCCGGTGCCTGCACAGGAAGCATCAGACCTACACTCACGTTCATACAGATGATGCCACATCCTCATAGGAAGGGAACTGCAATACAACCTCCCACAATACTTAGCTTGGCTGCCAAGCCAGGAAGCCTCAGGTGATGCTTGAAGATGAGTCTCCTCAAAATATTTTTATATTCCAGCCGCAGCCCAGTTATTTAGATATTTAGCACCACAGAGACAGGCTTGCATAAGAATGACTTGTTAACGACTCCCTTGAAACAGGTTATTTTCCCATTCTGTTCCATGGCAATCATAGACAGACCGCGTTTCTAGCGTCTTCTGTTCCAGCTCCCTGCCAAGAACAGCCCTTTGCCCAGCTATCTCCTACTGACCTAAATTCATACATGCAGTCTTCTTGCTTTAATCACAGTCTTCTGCCCTACAAAAGGGCTCCAAACCTGAAATCCTTGTCTCCTATGTTCATTATTCCAGCCATCAGGCCCACAAATGCGTAACAGCTTCTGAAGGTCAATGCAGAGCCTGCTGCACACGACACCAGCCATAATAGATGTTCTGCAGGCCAAATTATGCCCTCGGGGAAGCCTATGCATCCCTGTGGCCTTCTGCAGATTGCACAGCTGTCAGGCTGCAACTTACTATGTTCTACTTAAGATATGCAAGAAGAAAGAGAATTCAATGGTATTGACTTATTTCAGCTACTGAAGTCAGCCGATCTGACTCTAAACACACATTGGGATTATATCTGTCGATTAAGATCATGGCACGATGGCACCTTTGGTCAATAACAGCATCATTTGTTCTTCACATGACCTCTCTGCTACTTCCAGTTTTATTGTTCACCATCGTGTTTGTTACAGTAGCTATGTACCAGCTGAGAAGAGAGTCCCCACTGTGTTTGGCACATAATAAAAGCAGGGTAAAAAGACTGCTCTGAATCCAGAAGTATAACAAGCTAAATCAATGCTGTAGTGAGTAGGAATAGAACATCTGAACCAAGGACATCCTGCATGTCATGCTATACTGGTCAGATATAGGGGAATTTAAGAAGCCACAAATTTTAAGAAGCGTCTTTTTCCCCCCTTCTTGCACAGAAGCACAGGAGTTCTCTGCCCTGCTCCCAGGATGTATTTAAACCAACCTGCTGACGCACTCCAGTCTCAAAGCGTATTATTTCGTCCTTGTCTTTCGTTAACAAACACCCTCAGTTTTAAAATTCATCATCCCATGTCAGGCTTAGGGGAGTCACCTGCTAGGACTGTTACAATAAACTTAATTGTGCAGTGGTCTCAGTCAAATCAGTGCAGCTCCCACACTCACCTGCTGCGTCTGCGCCTGCGTTTTACACCCAGAAGTAGAGTGTCCTCCCAGCTTGCAGATGGCTACAGTAGGCAGTTAACTATTTCAGACGGGCCAAGATGTTCCAATTAACCAGTATTTACTAGCTGAAGTCCCTCACAGTAGCGAGTTTACAAATATTTTTATAAACACCTCATAAAGCATGGGTTCGTTATTACAGCCCATTAGCATGCATGCAAGATATTTTAACGTGTAAAAATTCCCCATGAAATAACGATTTTCTCCTCTACTTTCAGAAAAAAAACTGCCATCCTTACCACGAGCTAGGCAACACTCTCCAGTTCTTTTTTCTTACCCTTTCCAGCCCACAAGTCAAGCCAAGCCTCGTTTGCCTGATTTCACAGCATGCCTTTATGAGTAACCCCTACATGTGCCATGGCAGGTCCCTCACCCACCCTCCTCACCGAGTTCAACACCTCCGGCAGGGCTGGAACAGAGGAGGTGAACCTTTGCTCTCCTGACCCTAGAGTTTCCTCTGCTCTGCAGCACAGGAAGCCGCACATGACACATTGCTAAATTATGTGGCAACACCTTTAGCGTTGATTCTCCCCAGCCTTGAGCAGGTACAAGACATAAGTGCATCAGTTCTCCGCTCTGCTGAAACGTGCGGACTATTGGAAGTGGGATACGAATAAAATTTACCACTTCAGATAGAAGGACCTGGAGCCGACAACATCTGCTTCTCCCAAAACAAGAGTTAAGCCAAGGGAGCTTGTACTTCTAGGACAACATTGTCCAAGCATGCAGACTTAACGCTGCTCCCCAGCGAAGTCAATTTTAAGCCAACATTAGGGACTACAGAAAATCTTACTCTTGAAATATTAAGGTACTCACTGTACAAGGTGATCAACTGGAAAACTGGAATCTGTCCCTCTTCTGTACCCAACTCTCTACTCATTTGTCTGGAGCCTATTAGAGAGGAAAAAAAGTTGTAAATATAGACAGAGTGACAAAAAAAAATA